GAAGGAAGATGTTATTTTCATTTTACACATGTAAAAAATGGACAGAAATGGGCCGGGCACAGTGGCTCACACCTGTAATCCTAGCACTCTGGGAGGCCAAGGCAGGTGGATCATTTGAGCTCAGAAGTTTGAGACGAGCCTGAGCAAGAGCGAAACCCCATCTCTACTAAATATAGAAAGAAATTAGCTGGACAACTAAAAATATATATAGAAAAAATTAGCTGGGCATGGTGGAGCATGCCAGTAGTCCCAGCTGCTACTTGGGAGGCTTAGGCAGAAGGATTGCCTGAGCCCAGGCGTTTGAGGTTGCTGTGAGCTAGGATGACGCCACGGCACTCTAGCCCGGGCAACAGAGTGAGACTCTGTCTCAAGAAAAAAAAAAAAAAATGGACAGAAATGACAATTGAACCTGTATCTTCGAACTTGGAGTCCTATAATGATTTCATTTCTTTTTAATGACTAGAATTTTATAAAAGAAGGCATTATTAATGATCAAAGACATAATATGTGAGAGCTTTGAGGTTTTTCATAGCATAGTTGAATGTTAGATGTAAGTTCTAATATAACTTAAACCCTAATCTATATTAATATTTAGCACCATGCCAGGTACATGGTAAACATGAGTAACTGCTTATTATTAGTGGAAGTGACGTACAACTCTATCTAGTGATTTTCATTCTCGATATGTCTATCTTGTACAATTTCAATGGGCATGTATTTTTGTCAGCGTGTTTGCAGTCGACCCTTGCTGCTCTGTTGCTTCCCCTCTCCCACTTTATGAGCCCTGTCTTTCCCAAACTCATTCCTAGATGTTAGTCTTCTACTGTATGAGGAGAAGATGAGAAAGGGATAGCCAGAGCTAAAGAAGTACGTGTGCGTAGCCTTTGAGGTTTGGTGGATGTGATGTTTAGAGAGAAGGTAGAATAACTAGGCTACAGCTATTGGGTATGAGAGTTGAAGGGTTAAGGAAAGGGAATCTACGAAATGTAGCTATGGATTATAAATTGAATCTTCTTGCTCTCCAAAAATTACAAGTAAAGAATTAGGTTGGATTTTCTTTCAACTATCAATAATACTGTTTCTTCAGCCACGTTATAGTTCAAACAGGGCCTACATTTTAGTTATGGATACACTATGCCTTTTATTTAAAACCAGCCTTGGAATGCATTTTTCTGTTTTCCTTGCTATCGTTTTGTAAGTTTTCCATTTTAAAATCTGCAGTTCTTGTCTGTACACAGTTTCCAATCACTTAATTCTATTGCCAAAGTTACAAAATGCTTAGACTTGGCATGAGAAATTCCAGAAACTACTTTAGAAAAAATAATCAGTGTAAAAAAGGATAAATTAAGAAAGATCAGAGTCAAGTAGCTGAAACATAACAATCAGGATAGAGTCAGAATGTTGACATTTTAACTTTCTTGTGCAGAAAGCATAGAGAATCAAAATTACTGCTTTAGAACTTCAGGGGCAGCAATAAAAATATTCTTCAGGTCAGTCTTTTTTCTAAATAATTGGCCTGATTGTTCAACCAGTATTTGCTATCAGAATGTAGAAAATAATATAAACCCAGGGATGCCCTTTAAATTAATGATTTTCTCACTGTACATGAATATCTTGCTTGCCAGAACATTTGAATGCTTCATTATTTAAGAAATCAAATCTAATCAAGAAGCTAAGAAATGAAATTTCTACAGTTCCATTTCCTTAATTGATGAAGACTTTCAAGTTGATATCAAAAGAGCAGCCCTTTAATTATTCTCAAGGAATTTGTATAGATATCACAGTCATAATCAGACTGCCTTTATTTCAGAAAGTATACTTTTGGTAACCTATCCAAAGATTTTATTTTAGTGAAAACAGTAAAAATAACAGAAATATTAAAAGAAAGATGAATTGAATTGTGATTGACAGAGGAGAAAATTTAATTACTTGGCAAGTATATTTTGAGGAACTAGAACTGAAAATAATAATATATTACCGACTGAAATGGACATATTGATGTTTTAGAGTCATGCTTTGCTGGAATACTTTATGCTTTATTTTTCAGTGATGGCAGATCTTTGGCTTGGAACTTAGAAGCAGACACCTTAAACAATGTTATGCGCTTATATGAGTAGAATCTGTAGCATAATGGTAGTTTAATCAGTCTGCCTATAAAACCTTTTATATGAAACGGAGTGGATCATTAATTAATATGTTCGGTACTGTTCTTCACATTCAGAACACTGATAGTTCAGAATCCTCCATCTCTCTGCCTTTCTCTTTGCTATTCTCCCCAAATGTAGGCCAACAAAGGCGAAGGTTGTTCTCCAGCTGCCAGTGGCCTGCACAACTCCTCTACAGAGCCAGATGCGCTACCTCTCAAAGGGGTGGGCACCCAATCAAATCAAAACTGTTCTGGCTCTATTGTGGGGCGTACCTTCTCTCCTGAGCTACCCTCTCTGGGTACCAGGAAAGTGATGAAAATAACAGTCTTGGTGTTGGCAGGTAATAAGGTGGCAAATAATACTCTTCCCAAGTCCAGGGTACTGAAGTATTTATTTTTGATAAAAGAACAGAAATACATACACAGAGAAAACAATTTAACCAGAATAACCAGGTATAAAATGAGAAGTTTTGGTACATCGTCCCTCTTGCCACCGTCAACTGCCCCTTTCACTTCTAGTTCCTACCCACCATAATTACTGTAAAGGCTTTCTGGTATTTTCTTCTCCACCAAGCTCCCACCAGCTCCCACCCTGCCAAATTTTTGTATATGTGTCAGCATGTATATGGTGCACCTTGCTTATTTTCATGGAAAGGTTTTAAGGATCTTTTCATATCCACACCTACTCATCGAATTTTTTTAAAGATTGTATACATACCATTGTGTGGATATGCTATATTGATATAAGCAGTACCCTAATGTTGGGTACTTTTATTTCCCGTTTTTTCTATTACAAATAAAGATCTGGTAAATTTCTAGCAGTAGAATTACTGGACCAAATACAAGTCTATTTAAAATTCTAATAAATTTATTAAATTGCTCTTCAAAAAAGGGCTTCAATTTGCACTTCTACCAGTACTCTTGTGAGCACTTGGTATTATAAGACATTTAACTTTCCCCAATCTGATAGATGACAAATGATATCTCACTGTTCCTTTTCTTTATAGTTCTTTAACTATAATAATGTTGAGTTCTTTATTTTAATTTTACAATTGATTATTTCTATTTATTTTATTGTGAACTATTTTGACCATTATCCTTAAATATATGGAACACTTTGCCCATTTGCCTGTCATTTTTGCTAATAGACATTGCTAATCTTCTCTGAATGATTCCAATTTGATTATATATGTTGCATAGGTGAGGCCTCTAATTTCTGTAACTGTGACCAATTTTTTTAAGACAACAATGAAGAAAATGAGAGGGAGACAAAGAGAAGGAGAAAGAGAAGAAAAGAAGGTTGAGGGTATGGGTGGCAGTAAGAGTAGCACTGCTACTTAATATATTCTACTAATCCCTGGTTTTGACTACCAGTCTGTAGTAGAATGCAGTAGTCAGGAGAACATCTGCAATGAGACTGTGTGGTATTTGAATCCCAACTCTGCCATTTAGTAACCATGTGACCTTAGGAAATTTACCTAAATTCTCTAAATCTCAATTTCCTCATTTGTAAATTGGAGATGGTAATAGTGTACAAATCTTAAGTGTTATTGTTTACATTAAGTAAAACAATCCACTGAAACTGACAAACACGAAATGTGGCACACAGCACACATACTCACTGTCACCCATTACTATTGCTAAAAATCGGCAAGTCCTGTCCAGGAGGGACTAGAGCAACCTCTCTTTCTGGGTCCTTTCTCAGCACCCCTCATTACTTGGGAACTGTGTCTTTTATTTACATTTTGTGTTTCTGTGGAGCTAACTTAAACAATTAGCATGATCTCCCAAAGAAACAAATATTTTGGCATAATAAACTATTAAAAATATATTCAAAAAATTATCTGCTTTATCCAATCAAGAGAGGGGAATAATATTGTGGGATACATAGGATTTTCTATATTTTATTTTTTCAATTCCACTGTTCACTAATAAATGATGTAAGAAAAAGAAGACAGATGAACTCCATTTCAATCTTAAGGTATGTTCGTAACGTGATGCATACCTAAGTAAGATTTCTAAACTTATGTTCTTATTTCAACAGATTGGATCTTTATTTTCTTTCCCCTTAATGACTTTTACTCTTTATGCTGTCATATTGGAACTGTAAACTGCTTAGTTACTCTTACAATATAAACTAACCTAAAGTTTAGAGAATGTTAAAAACTAGTGGAAAGAAGCTAGAAGATTTAAACTTGTCATATTAAATTATCTATAGCAAATGGTATTTTTAAATATTAAAGAAAGCATACCAGAGTAACAAGAAACACCCTATGTAAAGTCTATTTGATGCAATTTGCACAAATACTGTTTTCTCTATGAAAAAATGATAGTTTTATCATACATGTGCTCACAATTGTTTTTCTATTTCTTTGATTTTTGTTTCTGTTTAAATAAATGCAAATAAGTGGTATTTACTGAAGTTGGGAGATTCTGCTTAATAATCATATCTGAGATTTGGAAAAGCTAATCCAATAATCCATTTTGGTAGTAAAATTTTTTAAATAAGTGAAATTATTGGAATGATGTAAAGAGGGCATCATTACAAATGTAAAAAATCTGGTTCTTTGGAGGTTTCTTCTCTATAGAAAGCCATCAAATTAAGTCAGATAAAGATCAGATACCAAGAAGAAAATGTCATTTTTGACCATTTTAAAGTGTCCAATGTTCATAAAAACACATCGTTTATTTAATTAGAAATATACTTATGGATAGATGCCAATAAATTAAATGCATTAAATCAATTTTCTTGCTTTTTACTATTTTATATTAAAATAACCTGAAATTGCACTGCCAGGTGTAAGCTTATAGATTGTTAAAATTGTTTTATTCTTTTTTTGTTTTCTGTTCACAGAAAATGATGACCATCTAAATGGCTTAAAAACCAGGTTAGAAAATGCCGATGTTAGAAATGAAGATCTCCTGAGAGCTTTGAATGACACTTTGGGAAAGTTATCAGCTATTCCAAATGGTAAGCGTTCAGGACGCTGCAAACTGTCAGTAGACTTTTAAGAATGTTGTTAACTTGTACAACTTTTTCTTTCTTTCTTTTTTAAATACAAAATATTAAGAGGGTACAAATGTTTTTCTTACATGGATAGCTTTTATAATGCTTAAGTCAGGGCTATTAGTGTATCCATCACCTGAATAGTGTCCATTGTACCTATTAGGTAGGTTTTTCCTCCTCCCCTCCCTCTCCCTACCCCCTTCTTGATTTCCAATGACTTTTACTTCTCTCTGTGCCCATGTGTACCCATAGATTAGTTTCAAATAATTAGAGAGTACAGGTGGTGTTTGTTTTTCTATTCCTAAGATACTTCTCTTAGGATAGTGGTCTCCAGTTTCATCTAAATTGCTGCAAAAGTCATTAATTCATTTCTTTTCATGGCTGAGTAATACTCCATGGTATATATACACACCACATTTTGTTAGTCCATTCATAAATTCATGGATACTTAGATTGAATCAACTTAGGTTGATTCTTTACAATTGTGAATTGTGCCGTGATAAACATTTGAGGTCAGTTGTCTTTTCGATAAAATGACTTTTTTCTGTTGGGTAAATACCCAATAGTGGGATTACTGGGTCTAATGGTAGGTCTATATTTATTTCTTTGAGAAATCTACATACCGTTTCCCACAGACGTTGTACTAATTTGCAGTCCTACCAACAGTATATACGCAAGCAGTCCTACGAACAGTGTATACGCATTCCTTTCTCTCTGCATCCATGCCAGCACCTTTGTTTTCTGACTTTTTAATAACAGCCATTCCGAGAGGGGTAAGGTAGTATCTCATTATGGTTTTAATTTGCATTTCCCTGATGCTTAGTAATTTTGAGCATTTATTTGTATGTTTGGTTGGCCATTTGTCTATCTTATTTTGAAAAACTTCTGTTCATGCCTTTTGCCTACTTTTTAATGGGGTTGTTTGTTCTTTTCTTGCTGATTTGTTTAAGTTCTTTGTGGATTCTGGTTATTAGCCATTTATTGAATGTGTAGTTTGCAAAATATTTTCTCCCATTCTGTAGATTGTCTATTTTCTTGGTTGATTATTTCCTTTGCTGTACAGAAGCTTGTGAATTTAATCAAATCCCACTTATTTATTTTTCTTGTTTCTGTCATTGCCTTTGGGGTTTTAGTCATAAATTATTTGCCTTCACTGATGTCTAGAAGAGTTTTTCCTACATTTTCTTCCAGAATTTCTATAGTTTCATGACTTATATTTAAGTCTTTTATCCATATTGAATTAATTTTTGTAAATGGTGAGAGATATGAGTCCTGCTTCCCTCTTCTTCATGTGGCTATCCAATTTTACCAGCTCCATTTATTGAATAGGAATTATTTTCCAAAGTGTATGTTGTTGGCTCCTTTGTCAAAGATCAGTTCGTTGTAGATAGATGGTTTTCTATCTGGATTCTCTGTTCCGTTCCACTGGTCTATGTCTCTATTTTTCTACCAATACCATGCTGTTTTGGTTACTCTAGCATTGTAGTATAGTTTGAAGTCTGGTAATGTGATGCCTCCAGATTTGTTATGTTTGCTTAAGACTGCTTTGGCTATTCAGGCTCCTTTTTGATTCTAAATAAAGTCTAGAATTATTAACATTTTTTCCAGATCTGTGAAATATGATGTTGGTATTTTCATGGGGATTGTGTTGAATCTGTAAATCACTTTGGGCAGTGTGGATATTTTAATAATGTTAATTCTACCAATCCATGACCATGATATGTTTTTCCATTTGTTTCCATCATCTTCAATTTCTTTCCTCAGTATTTCATACTTATCCTTGTAGAAATCTTTAATCTCCTTGGTTAAGTATAATCCTAAGTATTTTATTTTCTTTGTAGCTATTTTGAATGGTGTTGAGTCTTTAATATGACTCTCAGCTAGACTGTTATTGGTATATGGAAATGCTACTGATTTGTGTACATTGATTTTGTAACCTGAGACTCTGCTGAATTTATTTATCAATTCCAGTAGTCTTTTGGTGGAGTTTTTGGTATTTTCTAGATACAATACCATATCATCCGCAAAAAAATGATCGTTTGAGCTCCTCTTTCCTGATTTGGATACCCTTTATTTCTTTCTCTTGCCTGATTGTTCTGGCTAGGACTTCCAGTACTATGTTGAATAGAAGTGGTGACAGAAGGCACCCTTGTCTTATTCCAGTTATTAGGGGGAAAGCTTTCAAATTTTTCCCATTGAGTATGATGTTAGCCGTGAGTTTGTCATATATAGCTTTTATAATTTTGAGATATATTATATCTATGCCTAGTTTTTGAGGGTTTTTATCATGAAAGCGTGCTGGATTTTTGTTGAATGCTCTTTCTGCATTGAGATAATCATATGAATTTTGTTTTAGCTTCTGTTGATGTGGTGAATCATTTATTGACTTATATATGTTGAACCATCCTTGCATCCCTGGTACAAAACCCACTTGGTGATGATGGATTAATATTTTTGTTGTGATGTTGAATTCAGTTTGCTAGTATTTTTTGAGGATTTTTACATGTATGTTCATAAGGGATATTGGTTTGTAGTTTTCTTTTTCTATTGTGTCCTTTCCTGGCTTGGTATCAAGGTGGTACTAGCTTCTTAAAATGAGCTTGGGAGGATTCCTTCCTTCTTGATGTTATGGAACAATTTCTGCATTATGGGCACCTGCTCTTCTTTGTAGGTATGATAGAATTCAGCTGTGAATCCATCTGGTCTGGGCTTTTTGTGTTGGGAGAGTTTTTTATTCCTGCTTCAATCTTGCTGCTCCTTATTGATCTGTTCCAGAGTTCTAGCTTATCCTGATTAATTCTTGGGAGGTTGTGTGTTTCCAGGAATTTGTCCATTTCCTCTACATTTTCTATTATAGTTTATGTGCATAGAGATTTTCATAGTGTTCACAGATGATATTTTGTATTTCTGTGATATCAGTTGTAGTATCTTCTTTTTCATTTGTGATTGAGCTTATTTAGGTCCTTTCTCTTCTATTCCTGGTTAATCCAGCAAGAGGTCTATCAATTTTGTTTATCTTTTCAAACAACCAACTTTTTTGTTGGTTGATCCTTTGTAATTTTTGTATGTTTGTTTTTCATTTCATTTAGTTCTGCTCTAATCTTTGTCATTTCTTTCCTTCTGCTGTCTTTGGATTTGCTTCGCCATTCCTTTTCTAGTTTCTTGACATGTGAAATTAGGTTGTTAATTTGTGTTCTTTTTGTCTTTTTGATGTAGGCATTTATGGCTATGAATTTTCCTCTGAGGAATATTTTTGCTGAATCCCATAGATTTTGATAGCTTATAACCCCTTTGTTGTCCAGTTCAAGGAATCTTTTGATTTCCATTTTAATTTCATTATTGACCAAATAATCATTCAGTAGCAGCTTGCTTATTTTCCATGACTTCATGCAGATTTCAGTGTTTCTCTTGGAATTGACTTCCAGTTTTATTCCACTGTAGTCTGAGAAGATACATGGTATGATTTTGATTTTTTTTAAATTTTTTGAACAATGTTTTATGGCCTAAGACATGATTAATCTTAGAGAATGTCCCATGTGCTGATGAGAAGACTGTACATTCAGTAGTTTGGGGGCACAATGTTCTGTAAATGTGTTAGTTCCATTTGTTCTAGAGTCCCATCTAAGTCCAATGTTTCTTTCTTTATTTTTTGCTTCAATGATTTGTGTAGCTCTGACAGTGGGGTATTGAAGTCCTTAGCAATTATGATGCTACTGTTTATCTATTTTATTAGATCTAGTAGAATTTGGTTTATGAATCTGGGAGCTCCTTTGTTAGGTTCATTTATTTTTAGGATTGTTATGTCTTCTTGTTGAATCACTTCCTTTACCATTATATAAAGACCATCTTTGTCTTTCTTTACCATTGCTGATTTAAAGTCAGTTTTATCTGATATGAGAATGGCTATACCTGCTCTCTTTTGGTTTCCATTTGCATGGAATATTTTTTTCTATCTCTTCATCTTGAGTCTATGTGAGTCCTTATGGGTTAGATGTGTTTCCTGCAGACAGTAGATACTTCGGTTGTGTTTTTCATCCATCAGCCAGCCTATGTCTTTTGAGTGGGGCATTCAGAGCATTAAAGTTGAGTCATAGAATTGATGTATGTGATGCTATTCTGTTCATCATGTTGGGTAGTACTCTGTTGCTTTGTTTTCCCTCTTGTACCATTGTTTTATCTGAGCTGTGAGCTTTAGCTTTTGGGTGATTTTACACTGGTGGGTATCTATTATACTGATCTATGCATAATGCTGTTCTGAGTATTTCCTGTAGGGCAGGTCTGGTCATGACAAATTTCCTCAGTGTTTGCTTATCTGGAAAAGACTTTATTTCTCCGTCAATTATGAAACTTAGTTTTGCAGGATACAAAATTCTAGGCTGGCCTTTGTTCTGTTTGTGAAGATGGGTCCCCAATCCCTTCTTGCTTGTAAGGTCTCCACGGAGAAGTCTGCTAACCTTATGGGCATTCCTTTGTAGGTTAGTTGTTGCTTTCATCTTGCTGCTTACAGAATTTTCTCCTTCATTCTGACTTGGCCAGGTTGACTACTATGTGTCTTGGAGATGTCCTGTTTGCTATGAGGCTTCTCAATGTTCAGTGACCATCTTGCATCTGGATATCTGAATCTCTGGCAATACCAGGGAAGTTTTCCTCAGTAATTCCCTCAAATAGATTTTCCATGCTTTTTGCTCTTTCTTCTCCCTCAGGGATACCTATAATTCATACATTGGTTCCTTTCGTGTAGGTCCATATTTCCCAAAGTGATCACTCAGTCTTTTTCATTCTCTTTTCTGCCTCTTTGAATGACTGGGTTAGCTCAACAGCCTTGCCTTCAAGCTCTGAGATTCTTTCTTCTCCTTGGTTTTGTCTGTTTTTGAAGCTTTCTACTGACTTTTATTTCCTTAAGTTCTATTGTATTCTTTCTTATATTGTCTGTCTCTTTAGCAGCTTTTTCATATTTTTCATTGATTCCCTGAAATATTTTGGGGGGTTCTTTTTGTTGGTTTTCAAATTTCTATTCAATTCCATTCATCTTATTTGCCACTTATATTCTGAATTTCATTTCTGCCACTTCAACAATTTCCTTTTGTTTGAAGTCCCACTGTAGATCCATGGTAATCCCTTGGGGGTGTCAAACTATTTTGTTTTGTCATGTTGCCAGTGTTCTTTTGGTGGTTTCTTTTCATCTGAATCCTCTTCTCTTGGCTCATGGCTAATAGTTTTCCAGGGTGCCTGTTCTTCTTTGCTGGGGACTCTCTTGCTTAGTTAGAAGAAGAGAAGGTCCCTACATGGCACTTTTGGATCTTACTCTGAAATGTTGATCTGGCAGACAGGGTAGGGGCAGGTGAACTGAGAGCCTCTTGTGCAGCTGTTCTGTTTTGACCCATTCCCCTGTGATTGCCACAGTTCAAGCTGGTGCTGGATGATCTTTGTGCGGGGTGATGGGTTGTTCCCCAGATCACTGCTGGAATTTCGAGTCACAGACTTGGTGAGACCCTCTCTGTGGAGGCTGGCATTTTTGGGGATTGCTCTACCCAAGTTCTCCCTGTGGAGGTGACAATGGCATCTGAGTGAAGGCAGTGGTCCTGGGCATCCAGGCTGTGGGCATTTGATTGAACTCCCTCCAGGTCCAGGTGTAATGGTGGCTAGAGGCAGGGGGTCCCTGGAGGAGTGTTGGACCTCAGGACAGTTCTACCAGCTCAGGGGCAGTGGTGGACCCTCATGGGTGGGGTCTTGTGGCCCAGGCACAATGCTGAAATCTCAAGGGTGGTCTCATGAGCCCAGCGGAAGCTCTGGAGTCCTAGGGGCAGAGCCTCAGGCCCAGGCACAATGAGAACCTCAGAGCTGGAACTGGGGACCACAGAGATAGAGCCACACAGGCAGGGATCTGCTCCACCAGTGTGGGGAGTGCAGTTGCAAGGTGCACGGGCAGGAGTCGGTTCCAGCAGTCCATGGACTGCAGAGGCAGGCCAGCTCCTCTGGCCAGCCTGGGCTCTCCCCCTGCCTAGGTCCTACTGTGGCAGTTGCCCAAGTTCCCCAGGTGGTGCCTTAGTGCCTGAGGCACCTTGTCTGCTCAGATCCTGTGCTGGAGGGGAGAGGTGGGGTGCTTGGCTTCCAGTCACAAGGCATGGTTTGGAGGAACATCTTCTCTGCCCACTCCCTCCCCAGCCCAGTGGGGGTAATACAAAGGCTACTGCTACAAAGCCAAGTCCCAAGCAGACCTGGTGCCATTCACCTGAGGTCACAGGATGGCATCAGCTGCAGAAGCCCAGGACCAGCAGCCACCAGATCCCTCCTGTGCCTGCTGTCTGGTGTAGTGTCTATGCATAGACTCTGAGAAGCTCCCTGATGAGTCCAGAGATCTGCCGTGGTGGAGGGAGCCCCCTCACTACTCGGGCCACGGTGCCTGTGGGGTGAGTGTGGAGCCCCAGAGCTTTCTTCTCCTGCCCTTCCCCAAGTGTGGGTGCCTCCCACAGATCCCTTCGATCTTGCCAAATAAATTTCCTCGTCACTTTCTCCTTCATTCTGAGCATCCCTCATCACTTCTCCAGGGATTTACAGTGTTCTTTCTGAGAGGAGCTGTCCATAGGTACCCATGCACCTGCAACTTTCTATCCTCTCCTTGAGAGCGGTGTGAGGGCAGGCTGCTCCTAGTCCGCTATCTTCCTATTCTAACACTATGCTTGTATTAAATATTTCTTGTCAGGAAATTAGCTACTTGTTTTCTTACTTATGAATTCTTCTTTGTGTGGATGAGAAATTAAACCGTACTTTACATTATGCTATTTCTTATCCTTCATTGCCTTTAGCTGGCATCCATAGAAATATATTACAAACTGAATATGTAGACATCTTATTATTATAACATTCATAGCTCAGAGTTGGCAGGCGAACAGTTCTAGGACCCTCCACAGATACCAAATTCTTGGATGCTCATTTCCTTGGTATAAAATACCATAGTATTTGCATATAACCTATACTCATCCTCCCATATACTTTAAATCATTCCTAATACCTAATATAATGTAAATGCTATTTAAATAGTTGTTATATTACATTATTTAGGAAATAATGATAAGGAAAAACATCTTTACATGTTCAGCAGAGATCAACCATCCTTTTTTCCCCCAAAATATCCAAATATCCAAATACCTGAGGTTGTTGAATCCACAGACGCTGAACCCAGGGATATGGAAGGCTGACTGAACTTTCTTCTGTGTTTCAGCTCAAGAAATCTCTTATTAGTGGGAAAGAATAAACTCATATAGACACTATTCTCTAAAATATTGATGTACTGCCCCAAACTCACAGTTTATTATAGTACCTTGCTGTAGGAGCTGAGAGCCAACTGCCATTCTCTCTTCACAAAGTTCAATTCCTTAGCTATTTAAACTTTCAAAAACGTAAGTGGTCATACCCTATCTGTAATATCTTCCTACCTATTAAAACTACTTGAAATTATTGCCTGGTGTTAGTTCCTGAAAGCGTGTTTTATTTTATGGATATTGATTTTGCTATTTTTATATTTTTAATGATAACAAAGATTACAAACACTTATTGAGTGCTTACTTTTTATGCTTATGTTAAGTGTATATGATCCTCATAGTAATCCTACAAAGCAGATAGCATTATTATCCCCACCTTACAGGTGAGAAACTGAGACTCAGGATACTGAAGGCCATTGTTAAAAGTGGTATATATGAGATTTGAACCCCACAGTTTGACTTCAGAGCCTGTGGTCTTAACCACTAATCTACACACACTAACAGGCATCTATATGTATAATATATGTTCTATATACAAATTATGATTTAGACAAGTGCACACATTTATACAAGACAGAAAATTTAAAATTTAAATGTTCTTTACTTTTTTAACACTAAAAAAATCTGAGTAACTTGTTAGATTTTTATGTTACCTCTTGAGTAGGTACATTGAAAATTTACAATGCTGTAAATAAATATAAATACACAAACACATGGTCTAACATATTTGAAAAAGTCTCTCTATCCTAAAAGGTCAATGCATTCATTCCCCCCCGCCACCCCTGTGGAAATGCAGATTAAATCTTAAGCCCAGTTTTGATGATGCTCACGTGAATAAATTTCTCTCTTTAATATGTTCAACAGCAAATCACAATATGCCCTTACACAATGAACATTTTGAACAATCACTTTGCTACTTTAAGAGCTAATCAGGTATTCACAGCAAAAGTCCCTGAGAAAATTTAATTTAGCTAAAAAATTTGCTTCATTTGCAACACCCAAATGAAACAAAGTTCAGCCTTTTCCCTTTGTAAATGTGTCCCTAAGGTCAGCCAGCCACAAGCCTCACTTTGGTAAGCATGGATTAAGCCACTAACTCCAGACCCGTTGTTTTGTTTCTCACACCCTCATCTGCTGACAGACACAGTCGCTAAACTGCAAGCTGCTAAGGACAAAGCCAGACAAGCCAACGACACAGCTAAAGATGTCCTGGCACAGATTAAAGAGCTCCACCAGAACCTTGATGGCCTGAAGAAAAATTACAATAAACTAGCAGACAGCGTGGCCAAAACGAATGCTGTGGTGAAAGATCCTTCCAAGAACAGTAAGATCTCCTTTTTCACTGTGATGATGTCATTTATTTCTTCACACTATAAAAGGATCCTAGACTCATAAATGTTAGAGCTGGAAAAGACCCTCACAGTAGTGCAGTCTGCCCTCCTCATTTCATAGACTGAACTCAGGAATTGAGTGTCTTGTAGTTCCAGGACTAGCATCCAAGTCTACCAGCTCCGTCCAGTGCTTTTTTCATCTGAATTTTCTCCAATCAAAAGGAGATAAGAAATTCTTAAGGTCTGCATGATATTTGGTATAGCAATGCCAAATACTTTTTAATCCGTTAGTGTAATTAAAAATACAGTTGTGCTTGGGAAATTATATTTTCAGAAGTGACCAAGTTTCATGGAACACAGAGGTTAAGGAACACACTCATTAGCAGGCCTGTTAGAACAGGGTATGAAAATGGGATGGACTTGAAATGCATCAAAATTTGAATATCTCGATACTTTATTATTTAGATTCCAATTATTGAACATTTCCAGGAAATAAAGCATTTATCTAGTTTATAAAGAAGACCATTTCTTCATATCAAATTCTATTGACTTAATAAGGATTTACTGAGAAAATCTGGGAGAACTCACTATAATAATAATTTATATAATTAATTAAATATAGACAATAAACATTAGGATTCTTTTACGTACTTTTTTCCCTTCTATTAAGTGTAAGAAGTTATCTTGGCACATGGTTTCACCAAAGGAGATGCTTGAGTTTTTGTACTTTTCATTTTCAAGAGACTAGCCCTCTTTATACACCAACATTTTCATTGGGTGTCAAAATATTAGTAGAGTGTAAAAACAAAAACACTGGTATTGACATAAATGCTACACAATTCAGATGCCATTTGACTGAGGAGTGGAGCCTGATTTCAGCATCTTAGTCTCAAAACAAATGCTAACAATGCTATGATCTCATAGACACTGTTAGTGATTCCTTCCTGAACAAGGAAGAATGCAAATACATGTACCACATACTTCAGAGCTAGGGAGAAAAAGGATTCATTCCTTGTCATTTCTTCAAGGAAGAAAAAGGGGAGATACAATGTTTTTAATTTTCTTTACTTTTTTATTAGTCACTATAGCTCTCAGATCTTATTTAATTTTTTTTAACATAAACCGAGATAGCTTCCCTCATAGTTCAGATATTCCATAAGAACAATTCCCTCTGATGCTCTGATGTATGCCACATCACAATATTTTCCCCAAAATATGAATGAAAAAATTTTAAGTAAATGTTACTATTTTGTTCATTTTAAAATTTAAGATATCATTTAATTCCATTTTAGATATCAACTAAAATAATATTTCATAATATTATCTCTTGTTTTTGATCCTATCCTCTATTAAGAGAAATAGTTACCTATAAATGTTAATTAAATTGGGTCTATTTTCTATCTTATTAGAAGATTATAATAAAGTTTCTTTTAATATGAACAATGGCTGCTAAATAACATATTTTTGTGTATTTTTATTTTATTACCTTGGTCTGACTTAAAATGGGGTATATTTGTAATTAGTACCTGTTGCGAAAAGTACCATTTTTATAGTCACTGTTTTATAATATCTCTAGAAAATATTTCCTCATGATTTTTCTAATTTTTTTGTTTTACTTCCATATGAAATTACCTGCAGAAATCAGTATGTATATGTTTATTTGCATATTTTTTAGTAACTCTTATGCTTAAAAGCTTCAGCTTTGCATGTTACTGTGTTTTAGCACCGCTTTAAACATTACATAGCTATTCTTTCTGCTGTGACAGCATTAACGCTAGGTACATAAAAGGAATCTACCTATATAAACAAATAGAATGTGGATGTATTGGATATAAAGTGTTTTTAGTAGTGTTATGAAAAATTAGTGTAAAATCTGTATGATATCTACATAAAAGTGGAAAACTGAATTCCTTCACAGATTGAACTGAATTACAATGTTTCTGACAACACAAATTCAACCACTGCCGCTCAGATGACTTCTTTGCAGTAGGATTAATATAAATTAGGTCTATGTGCTTGTTGTTTTTCCCCAGATACCCACTTTTTTCCCTCCTTACAAGTATTTATTCTCAACTTCTAGAGAATTATATTTGGAGAAGCACATTATAAAATTAGATCTTAACAAATATATAACTACTGGGATGTAAAAATATTTTCTCTTAAACATTTACATTGAAAATCAAAAATAAAACTTCAAAATAGCTAGAAAAATAATAATAAAATTCAACATATCAAAATCTGAAAAATGTGACCAAGGCTGTCCTCAGTGGAAAATGAGAGCAAGTATATAACTAAACAAGCAGTGAAATAAATTTTAGACAATCAGTTTGGTGAGTTAGAAGAAGTAAAATTAACTTAAAGAAAGAAAAAGAAGAAGAAAAAAATAAAAAAATATTTATGAATTAGAAGACAGTAAATAATAGACCTGATAAATTCAAGAGGTGAATCTTTGGGAATTAAAGATTAAAAATTAAAAAATTGGTAGATTTAATCATGAAAAATAAAGCACAAATATGTATAATTCTAAAGGAGATATAATTAGATAAGGGAGGAAATTTAACACATAAGAAATGAATTGGCAAAACTCTATGCTAATAGATTTTAAAGCCTAAAGGATATAGATAATTTTCTAGAAAAACATTAACTAAACAAAATCTATCTTCAGGAGTGATTTAAAAATCTACACAGTCAAATAAGTATGGAAGAAAATAAAAAAGTTTTCAAAAACTACTATACAAGAAAGCATGACAATATCACAGATGATTTATTTTTCAGACCTTCAGGAAGATAATATCCATTTGGCTTAGACTGCTCCAGAAGAGTAGAGGGGAAAAAGGGGAAGCAAGTGAACCCCCATGTTCTATTTTGAAGTATTTGATAAAAACTTCTGGGAGCTGTAGATGAAAAGGGTCTGTTATCTGCCTAAGCCTAAGTAGTCTTTGTTTAACTACTTTTTCTCTTTCTAATGAATCTAAATCTAAATCATATTTCCTCAATTCTAGAGTAATTTGTAGAATTTCGTTGGAGAATTAAAGAAAGGAAAAAACAGTCAAATGGTTTATTAAAAGTGTACAAAACAAAGGGGTAACTGTGTTTATGTTACCTATACAATTATATGATGAGGTCTTTGACCCAGATAACTTGCATTTCAGAAAGAAATGTAAAAACTGTACTCAGTTTTGATTTATCGACTCTACTAGTTTAAGTTAGTAGTAGACCTATATTCTTCTTAAATATCACTAACAATATAACTTGTATTTATGAGCATGAATTCAAAATACCTACTTTAAAACCTAATTTATATTTAAATTTATATATTTATATAATAATTTACTTTCATTTGAGCACATTTGATTCATTCCTGAGGATTAGTTCTCAGTGGTCATGTGTCAGCCAGAGAGCAGCTCATTCATAGTCTAACAGAGCATGTAGCCTTGGACCTTAGGCAGTTTAACTTTTTCATCAGGGTCACAATGACAGAAAGCTGAACAATACACACTCAATCAGATAATAAATGGCATAGTTGGATAAGATTGCCAGCATCCCAGAGATAGAATAATTGGTTTTCCATGTGTCATATGTCCTCCCTTGAAAAGCACATACTGAAAGTCTATGGATCAGTGATAACCTTCAACTGTTTTAGGGTTGAAACTTTTGAAATTGCCAATATTCAACCTTTTATTTTTTTTACCTACAAAAATGGCAGTTTAGTATGGGTCAACCTAATATATAACACAGGATAATCAACTATTCTTCAAAATGAAATTGAACTGCAGCATGAAAGATTTAATTAAAGTATAACATAGCCCTTCGGTCTAAGGGTTTTTCAACATCAAAGTGTTCTTCAAAAAACATTTTGATAGCTTCTCTTTTTAAATGTGTAAAGAAAGACAGGAGAAAAAGAAAGAAAACTAATTGTGTGTTAAGAACCCTGATTTAAATACAGTTCTGGCTTGGACAGACTAGATGACATTTTAAAGATGCTTTCATTTCCGTGCTTCTATGACTAAAGTTCTATTATGTAAAGGTTAACTTTTTGGCTGAAGCTAGAAATTAAGCATTGAATTAAGTTCATCATATTCTCTATCTTCAAAGCTAATTTTCACCTTAATCACGAAGTCAATGTGGTGGCTGTCTTTCTCTAACATCTCTGGCCTGCTCGAGTCTCAACTGAAATATTCTCATTTGCCATCACACACTTGGCTTCAGCAGTCATGGCCTGCCTTTGTCACATGGATAAGATGAAATTGTTGAGTTGAGCATACTGCTATTCTCATTCTCTGTATGTGTGAGTGTGTGTGCGCGTGCACATGTGTGTGCGTGGTAATTTTGTTCTATGCAGTTGCAGATGCAGATGCCACTGTAAAAAATCTAGAACAAGAAGCTGACCGGCTGATAGATAAACTCAAACCCATCAAGGAACTTGAGGATAACCTGAAGAAAAACATCTCTGAGATAAAGGAATTGATAAACCAAGCCCGGAAACAAGCCAATTCTGTAAGCTTCTTTTGTTTTCAGAATCATTAACTGATTGTAATTGTTGGGGCCTGACTGTAGTTGTTGGATTATTCCCAGAGCGAATGTCTTTCACTAGTGTTCCCTGTTGAATGATCTCTGGTCATTTTCCTTTAACTTGAGCTATTTGGGGCAAGACAGAGGGGGAGATTAGATTTTTTTTTCATAAATTTCAAAAGACATTTCATGAGAACAATAATCACCACTTACTGTTTTAGAATTAGGGATTCTGATATATAATTGTTTGAATAGAGTAATATAAATAGCAAAGATGAAAATGTTACTATTATATTCTAAAAAGGCATGGATAAGAGTGCCTTGATCTTGATAAAAATGAAAAAGACCAACTAGTGGGGTTGTAGCAGGAATAAACAAACAAGGTTACACAGAGTAATAGGAAAGAGAAACCATTATTTTATATATATTCTCTTGTCTGAGTACAAGCAACAATAAAAATGACATTGGTTACAATTTCTACATTTTTTTACTTTGGAATAAAAATAGGAAATACCTTACTTATCTCAAATTTTTGCTCTTTATTTACCCAATTAGAAGTTAACTAGGATAGAAGCAGAACTTTCTAGAAGGGTAGCATGCTATTGAACCTGGACAGAGCTGTTAAGTACCAGTGTGAAACTTTAGCTGAGTTAAAAAAAAAAAAAAAAGGTAATTTTCATATTGTCAGGCTTAAATGGAAACCTTTTTAGATACTTAAGTCTTCCATCTCAAAAATTCCATTTTTTGAACAACTTTGGAGCTAGGATGATCAGAAAAGCTCTTTCTTAATCCATCAATTTATATATTTTAGTAGCAGCCGAGAACATGATGCTCGTGTAACAGTATATGCTTTTTCCTTCTTATGCACGTATACCACCTCTAAACAAGGCCAAGACAAAAAGTTCAAGGAATCCATGATTGACTGAAGAAAAACTTAGAAAACAAAAAGATTAGTGGAGATGATGTTACATAAGACCAGAGTAAAAGAAGCAGTGGAAGAGTCTGAGAAGAACCTATATCCAGCTACAATATGAAAACCATGTAGTAAGGTTGACAGGTGATCATTATATATGTAAAACACAGGATTAAAAGAACCAGATGTCACTCCAAGATTTCGAGTTTTATCTAAGATTTAACCAATGTAGAAAAACATCTTCTATGTTCAGTGCTACATTCTGAAAGGTACATAAAGATGAATGAGGCAGTTCTTCCACTCACAAAGTTTATAATGTAGTAGGAAAAATAAGACATGTTCACAAACAACTCTAAGATAATGCAGATTATGCCACATTACATGAGCCATGGGGAAGTGCTGTAAAAGTTCTAGAAGGAGCAGTCACCTCTAGTATGGCCAGAAGATTTCCTGAAGGAAAGGATTTGAGCCAGACATTGAAGTCAGATAGTGCTAGGTAGTGGGGGGCATTCTGAGAAGGGGGTATGGATGGAGCCAAGGCAGAGAAAGAAGAAGTTTCAGTGTCAGTTTATTAAAGAGAAGTCCAGATTGCCAGGAATAATTGATAAAGCATTAAACTTGAAAGGTCAGTAGAGGAAAGATCTGATCAGGCCTTAAATGCTAAGTTAAGCAGTTTCATTTAGCAACAATTGTAGGTGGGATAAACCTCACTGGTGAGAATAAGCTGAAAGTTTTTGAGCATGAAACATGGTATAATCAGAACTATGCTTTTTAAAAATACAAATCTGGAAGTAATTTGTGGAGTAGATGAGAGAAACTAGAATGAAGGACCCAACTATAGCTGTAGCAGTAGGAAGAGAAAGGAAGAGATTGATATATCATTCCTGTACTTTGCAATGTTAACTTGGTAGAAGCAATAGTAGTAAATATTCTTTGTGAATCTCACATTTAGCCACACTTTCTGACTTAGTCATCAAGTGGGGAAATCTGAACATTTTTATAATTTTTGCATCATAAAGATATCTAAAAATACACCCATATAGTTATCAATTGTGAGTGCTTTTCCCCTCCACTCAAAAAGATAAAATTCTAACATGTAAGCATATAAAACCTGTCTCAAAGTACAAAAGAAAGTAATAATAGAAATAAAAGAAAGAAAGTAATAATAGAAAAAATAACCATTGTTTATGCCTTTCAAGAAAATTTCCAATCACTTTTGGAAATGGAAGCTATAACAAAATGCCATATTTTTTTTAAGATGTTAGAAATACGCCAACAGCCGAATTTTTTTTCAAATGAATTTTGTGCTAACTGAAGTTTACATTCTGATTTGTAAGTATATTTGTAACCTGGCATGGATATTTGGATGTGACCTAACGCTCACTTAATAAGACCAAGAAATTAAAGACATTTATTTTAAAGTAGCTTTCTTTCGGTTTGTTGATTCTGCAATTGAGTGGCTGATACTCTTTTAAATGAATGACCTACTTACTGGATAAAAAATGCAGTGAAAATCTGATAGAGATAATGATGGCATACTCAATAATGTTTAACTGAGTTCATGATGACTAACTGGTGAATAATGTTGTATCAGAAATGCCTTAGAGATACTTAATGATTTTTGTTTAGAAGTCTTACTAGGATTCACATTAGAAATAATGATAATTGATAGAACCATACATCCTAAGAAAATGTATACATTTCAGAAATTTCTCCCCTCTTATAAGAGGGATATATCCTAGAGATCTCTTCCAAATAAATTTATAGATATTGTATTTTGATTTACTTGTTTTAAGTTGGTTAAAAGAAACACCTATAATTGAAAATTAAAACATGAAGTATTTAAAAGGAGAGATTACTAGTTGAACTGATTATCAACAATCTGGGCTGTCTGAATTTTTCAGGTACTGAGGATATAAAAATAATATATTCAAAACCATAAGCCAGAAAACAGAAATCCAAGAGTGTTTTCCATATAAGAGTTGAGCAATAGGTTACTGTCTTAGTCTGTTTTGTACTACTGTAACAGAACACCACAGACTAAGTAATTTATAAAGAACAGAAATTTATTCTCACAGTTCTGGAGGCTGGGAAGTGTAAGATCAAGGCACCGGCAGGTTAGGGCCCAGTTTTTCTGCTTCCAAGATGATGCCTTGAATGCCACGTTCTCCATAGGGGAGGAATGTTGTATCCTCATGTGGCAGAAGAGCAGGAGAGAGAGAACCCACTCCTATAAGCTCTTTTTATAGTGACATTAATCCATTCACAAGGGCAGACTCTCATGACCTAAATACTTCCCAAAAGGTCCCACTTCCCAACACTGTTGCTTTAGGGATTAAATTTTTAACACATGAATTTTGGGGGACACATTCAAACCATAGTGGTTACTTTACAAGATTAATTACTGGCATACTAGGTATAATAACATCATTTTTTTCAGAGAATCATATTTCTCAAATGTGTGAAGTATGCTATAAAGTGGATTAATTGTAATTTCTACTGGCATTAGATACTCTTAGTTTTAAAATGGCTACTCTCTTATACTTTGAATTCTCTGATGGAGTTTCATCAATTCAGTTGGATTTCAGTACTGGCGCTTTGTGTTCTACTCTTTGACAACTCACTTTCGACACATGTAATCCCATATTATTAATATTTCTACTAGGTTGACCTAAGCAAGGACTGAAACTCATTCTGTGACCAAATGGTCACACATTCTTTTATTTAGTCATTTCTTCTCTAAACAATAACTGAGGAATATTATTTATGTCTTTTAAATAAAAATTACTTATTAGTGATTAAACTAGCCATAATATGGCCTTATGGCCAAGCCTATAAAGCATTTACAAAGTTGATATTAAATAAACTACACACAGTCACTTTTGACTACTAATCCAGCTCCATTTGGAATTTGGACATGATTTCTTGCCAGAGATAACTGAGTCTGTAATTCCATTCTACTCATGAATTCCAGTCAGATCTTGATTTCTTGTTCTCTTTGATCCTCTCATGATGTCAATGGCACTTATAGCCAGCCTCAGATATTAAATTTGCTCAGTGCCAGGGTCTTCTCTGATGACAATTTTGGTTCATGTACTAGAGATTCCTAAAAACTCACTATATCCTACACTCCTTCCTGAACATTAAAAATATCTGAAGAGTGCGTTTTCCCTACCTGCACTCTACTATATTGTCTTTCTCTTGCTTTGATTTATCCTTTTTATCCCTAATCCTTTTGATAATCCCTCATTTAGTGGCCATTCTATCACATAACACCCTTTGCCAACTCCCATTGCTTTATAGTATTGGCATCCATAGTAAAAATTATACATTTCCTAGTTCAGTTTTTCTGCAATTCATTTTGATTCACCTACCCACAGCACAGCAGGTAGAAGGATAATTCTATGACTTGTGAAGCAAAGAATTAACCTCCTGACTGAAAACCACTCTACCGGAAAGACTGTCTTCCTAGAACACAGAGCAAACATTCTGGGGACCAGAGTTGACCTGTAGTCCTGCGCCACCCTTAGAGAGGAGGCAAGGACAGAGAAAGCAGTCTAAGCAATAGGCTTCCTAGAGCGTTCCAGCCCCAGGCCACCACACACAGGCCTCCAGGAGTCACCCTCCTCCTGGTGGTGGAGAAAACAGCTCCTATTTCTTTCCAGAGCACAGCTTGCTCTGTGTGGAGATGCATTTTGGTTAGTAGATCAGGTGAGGCAACAACAGTATACAAATACAAGACTTATTCAGGGTCTGTAGGAGATACAGCAGGTCTGCTGTGTTCCTAGCAGTTCTCAAACATATATACATTTATCTATTTGTCAGAACCCAAATTCGCTCCTTCACTTTCTCTTTTGAATCCAACCAACTTTGCACCCAGGACGTTCACGGTATACTCTTTACCACCCTTGCAAAGGGGCCATAGTGCTAACTACATTCACAGACAAATGTGAGACTCTTGGAGACACCCCCTGGTATTACCATACTGTGGAGACTGGTTTGGTGGCTTATCTTCTTTGGAATCTATGTAGCCCTTCCATGGGGGGTAACAATAATGCTAGTTGGTTTCCTTCCAAATGTGCAAACTGTATGAGTAGCACAAAATAATAGATGAAATGAGAAAATGGAAATTCACTGGTAGTGAATTTAGGCAGCTGGGCATTTGAACCAGTAGCAAAGAGAAGTATTACATCTTCCACTCTCTCTGCCTCCCTCTTTGCACACTATCAATGAGCAAAGTAACAGATTCTCTCTGAGTACAAGCAACTATATTGCTGTCCTGAAGGTACCCATTTTTTTTTTTTTTTTTTTGAGACAAAGTCTCACTCTGTTGCCCGGGCTAGAGTGCCGTGGCTTCAGCCTAGCTCACAGCAACCTCAAACTCCTGAGCTCAAGCGATCCTACTGCCTCAGCCTCTCAAGTAGCTGGGACTACAGGCATGTGCCACCATGCCCGGCTAATTTTTTCTATATATGTATTTTTAGTTGTCCAGATAATTTCTTTCTATTTTTAGTAGAGACGAGGTCTCGCTCTTGCTCAGGCTGGTCTCGAACTCCTGACCTTGAGCGATCCACCCACCTTGGCCTCCCAGAGTGCTAGGATTACAGGCGTGAGCCACCGCGCCCGGCCCTGAAAGTACCCTTTTGATGGCGATTTTCCACCAGACCCAAAGGCAATTAAATCAGATAATCAACTAGTGTTATTTGTGATTGAAGGAAGGTTCCCTAAATGTAAGTAAAAATTGGTATGAACAGTGTTATTCTAGTCATATAGGAATTCCTTTCTTAGCAATTTATAGTAATTTTCAAGGTATTATTCAAAAGAAAAATGAGCTGTTAAATGTATTAATAGTGACAGCCATTGGAAATTATTTCCATTTCGTTTTCTGGCAAGTTAATAAAAAGGTATAATTTATTCTGAAATGTATGTTCTGAGTAGAATGATTAATAGTCTTCTTATTGTTAGAACATCTAGAACAAAATCTATTTGTCCTCTTTCAACTGAAAGAGCATGGGAGGGTAGGTAATTTCTTCTTGAAGACTAAAAGAAAAATGGTTTCCTACTTTAAGTGATACCAAAACTGCTGAAATTTGATTTGTAAAATTTCATTAAACAACCTTAATGAAGATCATTCCTGTTAGCTCCATATAAAGATCACCTTTTGAAAATGTTCCAGTATTCATAAAGGAGAAAGGTATGAAGGTAAGAATTTTTTAGTTGTGTGCTTCAAAAAATAGTAGCATGCTAACAAGACATGGAACTGTGAACAGCTCATTGTCAAAATGCTCGCGGAAAACTGCTCTTCTGTGCCCTCATTAGTGACTATAATGGTGTCTGCATATGGGCATTTAATGGTACTATTTGATGGTAGAAAAATAACTTCAAAGAAGAAATGATGATGGCTTTGTGATTGTTTGGGAGCTACTTTAAACTTTCTGAGAGATTTAGTTTTGGTTCTTTGTACCTTGTTTTTCTTAAAGATCAAAGTATCTGTGTCTTCGGGAGGTGACTGCATTCGAACGTACAAGCCAGAAATCAAGAAAGGAAGTTACAATAATATTATTGTCAATGTAAAGACAGGTGTTGCTGACAACCTCCTTTTTTATCTTGGAAGTGCCAAATTTGTAAGTCTAATGTTTGACTTTTCTTTATACTACTGTATGTGTGTAGTTGAAAATTAATCCTAGTATTGGGGAAAATGTATCAAATCCGGTAACATGGTCCCCAAATTGTCTAATGTAGACTTTCAGATTTGAAAACCTCAGAATATCACCTCACAAAGTTCTAAAGTGTCAAATTAAGTTAGAAATCAAATGAAAAGAAGAAAACTACAGTATTTAGGAACATTTGCTTTCATTGGTCAGTATACCAGCATTCATTTTGAAGTATGTTTTCAGATTCAGCTGTTTAAGAGAAAAGGCTAATAGGAATAAAGCTTTTATTTATTCTTCTCAAACTAAGAAATTATAGTGAACTTTCATGTTAATGAAATGAAAATAGCAAATTATGTACTAACTTCTTACCAATGAAAACTCTTCTAAATCTTATTGAATTTATGACTCAAACTGAAATAACTTAGGCTGTATCTACAAAAGCTCACCCATAAAGTTCTAATTCCATCCATCTGAACCTTTCGACTTTACATGCATGGTGATCTTCCAAAATGACTAAGACTTCTTAACAGATCAGTCATGACATAAGTCAATTTTTGCCATTCAGGTAAGGAGTTCTGGATCATTTTGGGTAAAAAGAATCATGGCTGCCCCCTCATAAATGTCAGTGTCCTGGGTAAAAACCGTAATGAACTCTGAATCCAAATATTTCCTTTTATCTCTACCACAAGTATCAGAATAAGAAAGGCTTTTGTCTCAAAATTAGATCTAACTAGAATGAACACATATGCCTCAGTGATGTGGACATTATTTTTGCCTGAAAGTCATTATACAATAATAAAATGTCATTTTAATCATACATAATAATAAATCATATCATTTCAGAAGTTTTATCATGAGATTTCACATTATTTCACACATTTGTAAATGGCACTTGTCTAAAAGGACTCTGTTGGCCTCCTTTTTCAGGGTGTTTTACATCTGATATCTATTGTTTTTATATTTCTCTGAATTTAGATTGACTTTCTGGCTATAGAAATGCGTAAAGGCAAAGTGAGCTTTCTCTGGGATGTTGGATCTGGAGTTGGACGTGTAGAGTACCCAGATTTGACTATTGATGACTCGTACTGGTACCGTATCGAAGCATCAAGGTAACCAAATCAATAAAGATTAAGATAATTAAATGACAGAACTTTGAAGTAGTTTCCCAGTTTACAAGAAAACTCCTATTTCCATTTCTATAAGGCAGCTGTGTATGCATGTATACGCGTGTATGAATTTTATATATCATATGTATATGTACAAATGCGTGGAAATAAGTATTTTTTCATATCTGTTAAGAACTGACAAACCTTCAAGGTATTGATCAGAATGACCAGGCCATTTCTGACCCCTTCATCTGGTGTCCAGTAGGAATTTGGGGGTTTAGCTGTGTTCAGTCATCCTACCTCACTTGACAAAAAAAAAGTACTGACATTCATTCTTATGAAATACAAACGAGAACATAAGAGCTGTTATCATTGCCCATCTTTGGTATACACAGCTCCCCCTCTAGTCCATGTACTGACCATTCCTGCAATCACATGCAATATCTAAATGCTGGGATCCATATGTAATATGTCAGGTCCACACTACTTAAAATGGGAAGTAATAGGGAATCAATTCATTAATTCTGTCTTTGAAGCTTTAATTTAATTATCAAGTTCTAGCAGCATATGGAGGACTTGTAGAACCATTCTTGTCCTCAATACTTCCCCCTCATTTTCTCTTCTTTTTCCAATTTTCAACTTCCTATTAAACTCAAAGCAGCTAACAATTGAGGGGTATGGTTGAGGGACTACGGCTAGAGATATAACTGATCAGAGATGGGTAGAGAAGACTTAAAGAACTGGTAACTGTGGAATCTAGGTGATGGATAGATAGAGTGTCATTCTGTTTATATGTGCTTAAATTTTTACATAACAAAAAGCTTAAAAAAAAGAGCTGGGCATGGTGCCACTCACCTGTAGTCCCAGCTATGTGGGATGCTGAGGCAGGATGATCACTTGAGCCCAGGAGTTAGGGGCTGTAGTGTGCTATGGTCATGCCTATGAGTAGCCACTGCAGTCCTGCCTGGGCAACATAGTGAGATCCCATATCTTAAAAAAAAAAAAATGTAGAAGAAAACTTAATGAGAAACAATATTTATAGTTCTTTTTTAAGATTTTCAGCAAGAGCCTGTGTGTATGAGAGAAAGAGAGCGTACAACGGACAATGTACTTGCATGTGTGGTGGTGTTGAGGGATGAAATACTTTACTGAGTTTAAGGACATTTATACTCACAAGTGCAATCCTTCCATCAGAAAAGATATATTCTACTAAAGAGGGTAAACCTTATTTAATAAATTCCTTCTTTTGTTCCCATGTATTTCACCTAACACTGCACCCTGAAAGATAAAAAGATTACCAAATGATACAGCAGGGAGAAATATGTGACACTGAAGTTTTGTTATGACTGCTTGTCTCTGAAGAGAGACCAGATTTTCATATTTAACAAGTCATGGAAATCAATCACTTTAAAAAGGAAATGAAATTAAATGATAACAGCTTTCAAAATTCTGTTAATTGAATTTAAAAGTTAACTTCTAGACAATTTACATGTACAAATCTGAGCACTAGATATTGCACTATATACATTAGGATGGTGTGCCAAACAATAAAAGACAAACAATTCCAGGAAGACTACTTCAGCAAATTTGGATCTAAGAGATCACAAAGAATTTTAGGAGAAATTATGCAGCTTTTATTATAATACAGAAGAGTGGTTCATTTGGGGTCTACTTGCTGAATTAAATTAGACAAAATGCCAAACGAAGTAATGTAAACTTGTTTACATTGAATGTGTTGGTAAATAGCAAATTATTATGCAAAGCAATAGGAAAAAATTTTTCCATGTAACCCATAGCAATTCCATTAGTGAATTGCTGCTGTGTCATTTCATATCAGTGAACATAGACAGAATCAGGATGTGGTTCTCACTGGTCCTCGTTGAATCTGACAGTAAATATTCAGCAAAAATCAGACTCTGGGTGTTGATTTGAGATTCAATGAATCTGGAACGTTTGAAGCTAAACACCCAGTTATCACTTACATTTTTTAAAACAAGTGTCTACATTTTATAGCTTTTAAATCTGAAGTTACCTGAAATGTGATACATATTTCATTTCCTGTACTTTCTTCTTCATTTCAACACGTACCCTCGAAGAACGGGGAGAAATGGAACTATTTCTGTGAGAGCGCTAGATGGACCCAAAGCCAGCATTGTACCCAGTACATACCATTCGGTGTCCCCTCCAGGGTACACTATTCTAGATGTGGATGCAAATGCAATGCTGTTTGTTGGCGGCTTAACTGGGAAATTAAAGGTAATGTGTTCTTCTTCCTCCTGTTTATTTCATCTTTATAGACAATTTCTGACATGATTACTTTGGAAAAAGGAATAATAAAGCCCTGCAAAATCTGACCACTTTTTACTTAACTTATGTTTATGAAAACATGAACTTATTTTTTTTTTTTTTTTTTTT